AATAACCTGAGACTTTTTTATCCTTTCCTTACTTAACCATTTCCCAAAGATAGTTTTGATCTTGACACTTGTCAAATTGCTATAATTTATTGAAGGATTAATAGTGTAATTAATTCTTTGATGTCCAATGAACTCTAGTTTTATGATTCGTCTCAATTGTGAAACCTAGAAAGGGGCAATATTTTCAAAACTTTTTGATCAAACATTTTTTTTCAAAACTCTTCTAATTGATATTTTCAGAACTTTTGAAAATAAAAGAAGAAGAAAATTCTTTTTCAAACAAGACAATCTCTCTACAGTGGATCTTGGTATTTGACATGTGGTTCTCAGACATAAAGCTCATGTTTAAAATCAGCGCTGAAGCAATAGAGGGCATCTTTAAAGATTCAACATCAAATGTTGGGGCATCTTTCGAGATTCAACATCGAATATTGGGGCATCTTTGGGAATTCAACATCCCGATGCGAACAATCAGACCTTCTGAAGGCCTTTCTTCCACATGCAGGAACAAAGAATGAGGCTCCATTTAAGAGATAAAACATGAATTAATTCATGTTGCATGCATCTTATACATACTTAAGAGCATCGCATTCATCATTTTTTATACATATTTTTTACAGCTTTTAGAGTCAAGTTTCAACTTCAAGAAGAAAGATACTAGATTCAAAAGTACATTCAGAAATTGATGATGGTTGTTCAACTTCACAAAGAAGGAGTGTCTGTCAACTTTCCAGTTTTAGAGTCAATTTCAACTTTACAGCGAAGGATATTGGACTCAAGACAACACAAGCTCAACTTCACAGCGAAGGGGCGACTGACTGTCAACAAACAACTTCCCAGTTTCATTTAAGAGCCAATTTCAACTTCACGGCGAAGGATATTAGACTCGAAACATACAATACTTGGATTTCAACTTCACGACGAAGGATATTCAAGTCAAGGCTCAATTTCAAAACGAAGAGGCCATCCACGATTTCAACTCCACGACGGAGGATATCGTACCCACGAATCCACGATTTCAACTCCACGACGGAGGATATCGTGCCCACACAACCACGGTTTCAACTTCACGACGAAGGGAATCGTGTCCACCCGCAACACACAATACTTGGATTTCAACTTCACGACGAAGGATATTCAAGTCAAGGCTCAACTTCACGACGAAGGGGCCATCCACAACGGATGATATCATACCCACAGATCCACGATTTCAACTCCACGACGGAGGATATCGTGCCTATCCATCCACGGTTTCAATTTCACGACGAAGGGAATCGTACACACAAGCAGCATCAATCTCTAGATTAGATTTCAACTTCATGACGAAGGATATCCAACTCAAAGAATGAGTGTCTGTCAATAAATTTTTCAGTTTCAGAGCCAATTTCAACTTCACGACGAAGGATTTTGGACTCGAAATAACACAAGCTTGGATTTCAACTTCAGGACGAAGGATATTCAAGTCAATGCTCAACTTCATGACGAAGGAGCTCTCCACAATTTTAACTTCACGATGAAGGATATCGTGCCCACAAGTAGCAATGCAACCCTTGGATTTCAACTTCACGATGAAGGATATCCAATTCAAAGCTCAATTTCACGACGAATGAGCCACCCACGATTTCAACTTCACGAAGAAGGATATTGTGCCCAATGGATTAACTTAGTGTCACAACAAACATTGTCAACCTTAGATAACCAATCGTCCTTATCACGTAGGAATCGTGTCATCCCTTGACTAGGTCTCCTCATCACGTAGGAACCATGTCATCCCTCGACTGTGTTTCATCATCATGTAGGAACTGTGTTATCATCTTTTAGATAACTAGTCGTCCTCATCACGCCCAGAAATGAAGCCATTACAAGAAGCTGAAACGGTGGCACAATGCACAACTCACATGGAAAACCCATCAGGTTTTTGCTTCAGCTCCAGTAGCCCATCAGGACCCAACTGATCCAAAATTAACCAGACTTCCTCAACGAGAAGGAACAGTGTCATCTTCAGCAAATAATTTACTTGAAAGCGGTCAGATCTCTTCAACGTAAATGAGCAGCGTCATTTTTAGCATCAAATTTACCTCTAAGAAGAATGTTGTCAACAAACAATGATTATTCAAAGAAAGGGGAGCTGATCAAAGAAGAGCTTGCTCAACCTCAACTGATGCCTTTAAAGAAGAGTGAATGGTTCAAAATAAGAAGATTCGGAGCTCGAGACTTATTGATATTCCAAAAATTGTTGTTTTATTTCTTTGCTCTATTCTTGTTTCACAACAATGAGCAAATAGGGACAGCTGTCATCACCAATTTTTATCCCCCCACTATCTTCATTATTCCACTAAAACACACCTAACTCTCCACTAAAATAAACCCACTCAACCCACTTAACCCACTACATCTACCATTACATACAAGAAGGCCACTAAAAAAAGAAAGAGAAGGGTCAGACACCAGGGGAGAAAAACGTGGGAAGCCAAATACGGGAGAGAGAGAAAAAAAAGCTTCAATGATTCTGTCGGATTCTTACCGGTGATCAGAATCACAATCAATATTCCGAACGGTCAAAAGTTTCGTAAAACCATCACAAACAACATACTGAATATTCAGGACGATCGGACGGTGGACGGAGATGGATCGAAGAAAATAAGCAGAACGGTTTTTGGCCTCTTGCCGGCGATCAGGATCTCCGATTAACATTCCGAACAGTCAAAAGATGTACGAGACTATCACAAACAACATACTGAAAATTCAGGACGATCGGACTGTGGACGACGACAGATCGAAGAAAATAAGCCGAACTGTTTTTGGCTTCTTGCCGGCGATCGGGATCTCCGATCAACATTCCAAATGGTGAAAAATTGTGTCATGTAAACACGAACATCATATTAAAATTTCAGGACGATCGGACATTGGACGGTGGTGAATCAGAGAAAACAAATCTGGATGATTTTTAGCCTCTCGCCGGCGATCGAGACGTTTGATCAACATTCTGAACGGTCAAAAGTTGTGCGAGGTCAAGACGAACAACATACTAAAATTTCAGGTTGATCGGATGGTGGCACGACAGCGCAACAACACGATGGCCGGTGAATCATTCATGACACATGTTATGTATTTTTGGTATAATTTCTGTTTAATCCCTGAACTTTTATGTGTGTTTTTCATTCCCGCATATAAATATATATGTTTTATTGATTTTGACACTTAGTTTATGTTATTTTATTTTAGTCACTTAAGTTTTTATTTTTATTATTTATGTCATTTAAATATCTGTTTTAGCTATTTTAGTCTTTTTGAGTTTATGTTTTTACTATTTAATCATTTAAGTTCATGTTTTTTTTAGATCTATTATTCAAATAAATAGTTTCTTTAATTAATTAATTTGAAGCAATTTATTAATATTTAATAAATAGATCATATTTTAACTTGATATTTGACTCAGGATTTCCACCATTACGACAACGTGTAAGCGAAACAGTACCAATTTTGGACGCTGTGGGGTACTAATCCTTTTTCACGAGTATCCGACTCCCGAACCGTTTTAATCGAATTTTTGGTAAACGCAGACTAACTTTTGTCTTAAAAAATGATTTTTCTTAAAATTGTTTTAAAAGACGTTTTTAGGTATTCGACCTACCTAACCCAAAGGTTGATGATGACTCTATCAAATTTTATCAAATTTAATTAAAAATACCCATTTTTCAAAATTAAAAGTCGCAACCGTTTTTAAAATAATAAATAATTGTTCCAACCTAAAAACGGTTATGACATACATAGATCACTTGATTCGTACTTATATGATGGTTCTTAATCCCACATTACGGTGACAAAACATGTGTCACGGGCCCACAAACATTACGGTGCTTATATATTACTTTGTTTATGTTTTTGATCATTTATCTATTTTTTCTTTCAAAATCTTACTTAATATTACATATTATTTTTGTTTTGGTCACTCGCTGTTAAAAAATTAAAAATTATATCGAGTGATCAATTTGTTACAAAACGATAACATTAGTTATCATTTTATTATTTTTGAAACTTCGTACTGTAAAAAGATTTTTTTTAATAGAAGAGGGAGGCAAGCCTATTAGCTAGTTACAAGCTTTAGCATAAGGGGGGCCTCTGATATCACGGTCAACTCTTGGCCGGATGGCGTCAGGCGCAAATAAGAACGTGCGCATCTGATAATGTTGATGGGAATCGAGCTTGGTCATTCCATCTGCCACCATGTTCTCCCCTCTAGGAATCCAAGTAAATTCAGTATATCACAATGCTGTTTTTGAAACTTTAGTATTATAAAAAGAAATTTAATATTACTTTAGTTACCATTTATGTAGTTTACCCAAATAGAAACAAAATTATATGATTTTAAAAAGTAGGTAAACTATATCATTGACCACCTTAACTATTTAGTCCTTTTATTTTTATCACCAATCTTTCAATTTTATCAATCGGAATACTTAAATATTTAATTGAGGTCAATCAAGTCACTATCCATTAACAATTTACAAAAATGCTGGCGTGGCGGATAAAAAATTACCATAATTATACATTTAGTCCTTAATATTTATATATTCTATCATTTTGATCCTAATTTAAATTTAAATTTAATAAATTAATCATTCAATCAGGATTTGATATGTGCAGTACATGAATAGAATATATAAATATTAAGGACTGAATGTAAAATTATGCTAATTTTTTTAAGTATCACGTCAACATTTTAGTCAACCATTAACAGTTAGTGGTTTGATTGACAAAATTGAAAGATTGGTCACAAAAGTAAAAAGAATAAATAGTTAGGTGGTCAAAGGTACAGTTTATCCTAAAACATATATAACTGAATGATCAAAACAGAAACTAAGTAATATGTGGATGATCAAATAGGTATTTTACCCTAAAATCAATTACGCTTCACGCTTTTAAAGAACTAACCTAAATCCCTGGCCGTCTATTGGTACCCGAGTGTCTGTACACAATTGACCTTTGGGCTTTCAAAAATTTTCGACACAGAAATTAAAGAAACCAACAGCTTCCTCTGAAGCTTCGTTGGTGGCGACTGCTGCACGGTTTCATCTTTGAATCTTCTCTTCTCAATCTTCGTTGTAAGTTCTTTATTCCTATCCGATTATTGAAGTTATTGTTTTAATGCTTATGGTGATGAGGTATCGAACTAAAATTTTGGTGAGAATGTTAATACAAATCTTATTTTCTTATATGTAATTTTTGCATCTTTTATTCATATAAGTCGTGGTCTCTTCGGTTTCTTGGGAACTTTTTGGTTTCTTGCTTTATTTGTTTTTACTGCATTTCGGCCCTGAATGAATGATACATGAAGAAAGAATGATACGAAATTGTTCGGACATTCACGGATGTTCGATTTTTCTTAACACGAGAAATGATTTTTCAAAATAGGAAATGTTTTATTATCTTCCCATTTGCATTTGCTCTGTGATTTATTCGGACATTTTTCTATTCCTGTAAGTAGAAGGTTTCATGTGCTGAACTGATGATGTGATGTTATTAATGGTATTTACAGGCTTTGGTTGATTGTCCTTCTATCAAGATGGTTGGACCAGCACCATTTGTAGATATAGGCAAAAAAGCCAAAGGTCTGGGTTGCTTTAGCCTTTACTTTTTATTGCCCGGTTTTGTATGTTAAGATATTGTTTGATAAGGTATCACTTGTCACGGTCTTACTAGAAATTACTGTTCATTGGCAACTTAAACAGATAACTAGCTTTTTGGGTAGAGGAAATGTAAAGACTACTGCAGTTAGATTTTTCAAAAGCACTTAATAAACCAAAGAAAATGCTTATATTTATGTGATAGATAACCAAAACAAGTAGTTATTATTATACTATTATACTGAGGATTAACAGTTGTACCTTATGCTCAATATGATAAATTTTTCTTATAGTTCAGTCTTACATTTATTATCAGGACTTTTCTCACTATTTGTAACTTTTAATAACTGTTAATCAATACTTACTGCAGTTGTTCATTAGTTTATCATGTTACAAAACTGGGACTACGAAACCTTCTTTTTTTGCTTTTAGCCTTCATAAACTCTAATCATTTCTAATTATGTTTATGCAGACCTCCTGACAAAAGATTACAACTTTGACCAGAAGTTTACTCTTTCAATGCTGAGCTCCACTGGAATGGTAGTGTTTCCCCAATAGAACTTGTTGACTCTTTTTATTGAGCTGCTTGATTGTAATATTTTGACAGAGCTTGATTAATATACTTGAAAACTTAAATTCTGTTTTTCCATGATTGTATATGCCACTGATGCTATGGTGTGAGAATAGTTTGTTAAATATTAGTGATTAGCTGGTAGTTTTTCACATATGAACATTATGCTTATAGGATGGATCATTTGGTATTCTGTTATTAATCCTTTCTCTTAAGAAATCTTCTGCAGCAAATTACTGACAGAGATTGTTGGTGCACTGCTATATTTGAGATGTAGGAGAAAACACCTTACTCTCTGCGAGAATTTCATGTACATTGAATAGTTTTTTTGAGTAATGCCACTTCTCGGTACTCCCTCGTTTTGCTCATGTTGTGTATATATATCTGAAGAAATTCACACTAGTACCCCAAATTTCATGATAAATAAATGTCTGCTAGTGATTTCTCGTGTTAAGCTGGATGAAACTGGTAATGGAGACATCATGTGACCTTGGGTTGCCAAGCTAGGGCTGTTCATGGACGGTTAACCGTACCGTTTAGCCTAAACGATCAGTTAACCGTTATAACAGTTATGAGATTTTTCTAACCGTAATCTAACCATTAAGAAATGGTTAACCACTAACGGTTAACCGTTATTAACGGTTCGGTTACAGGTTAACCGAAGGTTAACATATCACAATTTTTTGTCAATTTTTTTCATAATTCATACTGCAAAAAATGTAGCACTTAACACATACTTACACCGGTGTAAGTGAATAAAATAAACAAGTGTAGCACTTAACACATACTACACCGGTGTAAGTGAATAAAATAAAAAAAAGTGTAGCACTTAACACATACTTACACCGGTGTTAGTAAACAAAATAAAAAAGTGTAACACTTAACACATACTTACATTGGTTTAAGTATATACATCTCCCAATATCTTAGTACCTAACGATAAACATATAATTATAAATGTGTAATTATGTTTATATATTTTCAAAGAAATAAATAATAAAAAATATACATTAAGTTATTTGTATACAAATTTTTTAAATATATATAAATTATAAATAATAGAAACTTATATCCCGTTAACAATCATTTTTAGCGGTTCGGTTAACCGAAACTGTTTAGTATTAAAGGTTCGGTTAATTAACCTGTTAAATATAACGGTTATACCGGTTAACGGTTTCGGGTTTTTTTGAACACCCCTAGCCAAAGCTTTCATTGTAATGGGTGATGATCTACTTTGATCTACTTAAAGATGTGTGTGGATGTAGTGACAAAAACCACCTATGTTCTGTCCTTTCAGTTTCCCTTTCTTCATCCCTTAACTTTCTGTTTGCTTTTTATCCATATGAGCTGAATTAGTCACATCTATTCCTTGTATTACATATCTAACCTTCATTATCCCTTTAGTACTCACCAGTGGTCTGTCCAGTCTGGTACATATAAGAAATCCGAGCCTTTAGTGAAATCGTAGGAAATCAGTTCAACTGGTAAAAAATTAGCAAAAAAAGGATTACATCAGAATCTTTTATTATTACTTCTTTGTATGTGTTGGTATATGAAGCTTTACCCTTTGTGGTCATGTATTGAAGACCATACCACTAAACCAAATGCAAATTTTTATTATCTAATAACTAATTACATTATTTAGTTCTTATCTTACATCAAAATATTATACCTAATATTTAATAGTTAATAAATTCTTTAATTTAACAATACTGTTCAACTGGTGACTCTGAGGGCCCATCACCAGTTTGGCATCCAGTACTGTTTCCCATTCATTGATATTCATTTCCATCACATATTTGACAGATACAGGTATGGCTTGCTGCCTCTAAATGGTAGGAAAAAGTTTAGAAAAAGATGTGTTGAACATATCATTAAGCTTATAATAAAATGAAGTTGGAGAACCAGGGAGAGCAGGAGACATGGATGGTTGACAGAGCTAAATTGGGAGGCCTAAAGGAACTAAATCCCTATTTATTTTATTGATTATATTTTTATAAATAGCCTAAGAGCACGTGAAGAAGGCCAAAATGTATTTACTTTCAAGATTTTGATATCTTAGTCACGTTTGCCATCAATGGATTCTAACATTTTCAAAAAAAATGTACTGCTGGTGACGTACCTTAAAAATGAAAAGAGCTCTTTTCAATTATTTTGTTTTTTTAAAATGCTATATTGAACTGTTTTCCAATTTGTTTGTTATGCCATCTAATGTAATTCTTAAAATGTTTCGCAGGGACTTACGGCCACTGGGCTCAAGAAGGACCAGATTTTTTTTGGAGACATAAATACCGTGTATAAGAGTGGAAATACTACTGTGGATGTGAAAGTTGATACCTATTCTAATGTATAGAAGATTTTTCCTTTCCAATTTTTTGTTTGTGATTCGCCATATTTGTGATTCAGTTTACCGCATCACCTGTTTGTATTCGGTGGTTGTTAAATTCTGATTATGGAATCCCTAATAATTTTGTCTCTTTTCCTCTTTTATTTTTTATTTGCTTTCCTGCAGGTGTCCACAAAAGTGACTGTCAATAATGCATGGCCATGTTCCAAAGCTGCTCTAAGTTTCAGGATACCTGATCACAAGTCAGGCAAGGTCAGTGCATGAATGTTAACAGTATAAATGTAAAAGGATGGTCTTAATTTCACATAATAACAGAGGTATTCCTATTATTATTATTATTATTATTATTATTATTATTATTATTATAGCCATGAACTTTTCATGTGGTGGGGATTGTGATAATGCTGACTGTTGATCATTCCTATTCTCTTACTACATATTTACCAAGGCTGTAGTTGATATGGTTGTTTTATTATGTCTCCTTTTCATGTATGGTACCTAGTTCTACTTTCTATGTATCATTTTATCTTGAAAAATGGTAATTTTTTAAAGTAAATCAGTTTGATGGAAGATTATGCTCCAATTCTCTTGTTGATTCAAAAGAAAGATCATTAATGGTTGCTGTTGTTGAAAATTATATTACCAAACACTTCAACCAATCAACTAAAGGCGGTAAACTAGCAACCAACTTCTTGACGTTGGTAATATAATTTTATTTTTGAGAAACTGAATCTTTGACTCCTTACATGCTCCATATCTCAGTTGGATGTCCAATATCTTCATCCTCGTGCGGCCATTGATTCTAGCATTGGCCTTAATCCAACTCCTCTACTGGAGCTTTCGGCAACAATTGGCAGCAACGAGCTTTATTTGGGTGGTGAAGTTGGATTTGATACAGCTTCTGCTTCTTTTACCAAGTACACTGCTGGGATAAACTTGAACAAGCCAGATTTCTCTGCTGCTCTTTTGCTGTAAGTATTTCGAGATCATCTAGCTGTATCATTTTTGTTCCAATATCTTCAGGCTTCAATTAGGTTGGCAAGTGCTGCACCATGAGAAGTTTATAACATCTTGTTAGCATTTTAGAAAATCTAAAGTGGGATTAAGATGATCCAAAATGTTGTTTGCAAGTATTATGGTCCTAGCCATTAATAAAGGTTTCACTTTCAGGTAAGTCTGAAAAACATTTGGGTAGTCTACCGATATTCATTGGGCTTTTCAAAAAATATTCTTGATCTCCAAACATTGATTTCTACCAACCGGATCTACAAACCTTTTACATAATAAAATCCAGCGCTTTCACCTTATGTTTCAGTAAAGACCGACAGTTTATTCCCTTGTCCCATAACTCTTCTAGGCAAAATTTTGTTTCTTGGCTGAATCAGAAATAGCCCACCTCCTCTTTCAGTTTCCAATTAAATGGGATTAAGTCTGCTAGCTCATACACCTCCTGTAATCTTTACGAACTTTACAAAGATTCACAAGCAATTGAGCGAAACGTCTATTTTGCTTGTGTATTTTTTGCTAAGAAGTTTGTGTGACCTGTATAGGGTTGTGGGTGGTAGAGAGAGAATCAAGGGAAGAGCAGTTAGTTAAGGGTGGTCCTACTTTTCATTGGCATTGAGTTGAACGCTGATATGCCTTCCATATCAGCACCTTGTTTTCCTTTGTAATGCCAGAGTGACGTCATTTCTTGCGTTTTGAAAATTTCAGTGACCTAATATTTTTAAATTGAATCTTAATGATGTGTAGGTTAAATTCAGAATGATGTGTTGGCCGACTTATCTTATTAGTTGTCAATATTTTATGCTCCTTTTCTTGTTATTTTTTGTTCTTTCCCTCTGTTAGGAAAGCCTTTGCTTTAATTTTATTGAATGCTTATACTCTCTATTTAGGACTGATAAAGGACAGGCATTGAAGGCATCCTATATCCATTCTGTCAACCCCTTCACCTCTGTTGCTGCTGAAATGGCTCATAGATTTTCCACCTACGAAAACTCTTTCACCATTGGGAGTTCTCATGACGTGGATCCTTTTACCGTGGTAAGAACACGGTTCTCCGACAACGGGAAGGTCGCAATGCTCTGCCAACGTGAATGGAGGCCCAAGTCACTCGTAACTTTTTCAGCGGAGTACGATTCAAAGGCCACGAATGCATCCCCTAAGATGGGGCTTGCCCTTGCCCTCAAGCCTTGACCGTGAGGATGCCGTTTCGGATTTTCCGTATTTTAAATTTTGATATGGTTTTTCCCCGAAACCCTTGTGGGAGTTGTCATTCACCCACAGATTATTTCGAAATATTATATAAGCAAATTGTTGAGATAATGAGTTGATGAATGTGTTTTTTCTTTCACAACATTGGTGGGGGATTTGAACCCAGATTTGCCAAATTGTTATAATGATAACAGCTAGGGATGGGCATGGGACCAAACCTGACAGGTTTCGATCCGATCTGATTAGGTTGGGTTTTTTTTAAAAAAAATTGGGTTCGGGTCGCGTTGAGTTTTTTAAAGGTGATGTTCGGGTTGGTCGGATTTGGGTTTAGGATAAAAAATATCCGATCCGACCCGAAAAAATGTATAATTTTTTTTTATATATTTAAGAATAATTACAATAATATCTCTTTATATATTTTTTCTAATTAAATCATTGCTTTTATTGAATAAAAATAATATTTTTTATTATTTCGGAGCAGGTTGGATCAAGTTTAGATTTTATCTCAAAAAATTAAATATTATTCGAGTTAGGTGAAGGTTGTAAACTTTTTAGGTCGAGTCGAGTTTGCGGAAATCTGACCCTAACAACACAGCAGTTTTCCTTGCTGAATTCTCATTTTCAAGTTGTATGATAGTAGGGGGTGCTTCCCCTTTTGTTGTATCGAATGCGTTGATGGTATGGGAAAACAAGTTTGGGCTTAGGTTTATCAAAGGGAGCATCATTCAATTTTATTTTATTTCGGAATTGTCTTTAAATCCTGATTGGATCTCGAATTTAAGTGAATGATTTTATCTGTCAAAATTGTTATTGCCCTCCATGCCTTCCGTCTAACCCGTTTTGCCTTCTCCAACAAATCCCCTTCCTCCGCCGCCGCTTCCTCCTCCGATCCCAGTGCGGCCACTGAATCCATCGGTGACGACCCCCTCTCCGCCTCCAGTGGCCAACTAATCGTCGGCGTTGAAAGTAAGTACCGCGTCGTTTACCGTCTCGTTAATTCCATCTACGTCCTCGGGATCACTACCGCTGATCATGACAATTCGATCAACGTATTTGAGTGCATCAACATCGTTAACCAAGCCGTTAGTGTCATCGTAACGGCCTGCCGTGGCGTCGATGTCACTCCTGAAAAACTCGCCCGGAAATACGCCGAGGTTTACATGGCTCTCGACATCGTCCTTCGTGGAGTCAACAACATTCGTCTCGCTGCCATGCTTTCCTATATGCACGGCGACGGGCTCACCAAGATGGTCCTTTCTGGACTCGACACTGAGGCCAAGATCCGTGGTGCTGACGCATGGCCTGCCGTCGAGCTCCATTCAGCCGAACACGAATCCAACATTGAAGCCTTCTCGAATGCGAATTTCGAACTGCCTCCGGAAACTCTAGCGGCGGGCGATCAGAACGCTTCAACTCTTGTACCTCAGAGTACACTTGAGCAAGACGAGAAAATGATTAAAGCAGAGGAATCAGAAGCAGAAAAAGATCCTTTTGCTGCGAGTGAGGCCATAAATAAGCAAGAAGATTTAGTTGGAGGGTTCAAGAAGGCGAAGGATCCATCGGCTAATGATTTAACATTGGCGTTGGCTGGATTAGAGGTGACTACACTGCCTCCTGCAGAAGCAACCCAATCTACGGATATTACAGTTGAAGGGTTTGAGGGGAAGTATGGAGGAATTGAGTTCGGCAGTGAACAGACTACACTTGGAGAAGCTTTTGAAGGGTTTAGTGATGCTTGGGGTGGAGGCTTGGATGCTTCTGAGTTTTTGGAAAATAAAAAGGTTAAGAAACAAGAAGGGTTTAGTGGGCTTGAACTTTTGCAAACTGGGGATAATGCTGCCCCTCCGACTGCTGCCGGTGCTGATGGAGGAAAGTCTCTTGAGAATCTTTTGGTGAAGACGACCGAGATGAAAGGTCCCGAAATGTATATTTCGGAGGAGATCAGTGCCAAGTTTAGGGAATCATTGCTCGCTAGAGTTGGATTAATGGGTGTGGTTTACTTGAGAACGATGCCTCCTAAAGTTTCCGTTGATAAAGATACCGAGTTTTCATTTCGTGTTGAAGGAACAAATTCTGTTAAGAGGTTTGTTATACAGAGTTCTCGGGTTAGTAGCCTAGGAAATGGAATGTTTCATGTTAGAACTGCCCCATCCGAGGAGCCTATACCTATTTTGAAATATAGTTTGTTGCCTAGGTTGACTCCGTTGCCTTTGAGAGTTAGATTGATTAAGCGTCTTAGTGGGACATTACTTTCGGCGATGATTCAGTATGTTTCAAATTCTGAGTTACTAGCACCATTGACTGATGTAACTTTTGTTCTGAAATTGCCGGCTGATCCAACATTGTTAAAGGTTTCACCTAAAGCTGTGTTGAACAGATCAGAGAGAGAACTGAAGTGGCATATTCCGGAAATTCCACTAAAGGGTACTCCTGGAAAGTTGAGAGCAAGGATGCCATTGGATTCCGGTGACATTGATGAAGAACTAGAAATTGTTGGTTATGTTAAATTTTCAGTGCAGGGAGCTACTTCATTGTCTGGGGTCTGTTTGAAGCCTGCTTCCGAGGGTAAGACGGATTTTTATGAGGTGAATCATCGGTATCAGAGTGGGGTTTATATTTGCAATTGAACACTGATAAGATCGTTATTTCTATTCAAATTTGTTGGTTTCTTTTACTATTATTTTTCCCCTTCTCGAGGCGATATATGATTAGGTCGCTTTTGATGAATTACTGGATATTGTGCTTGCAATCTATAACAACTTCCGTGAAAGCTTCTGTTTCTTGTTCTTGACCATTGATTTACACTGGCTGCTTTTCAAATAATTATTGTATCAATTTGCATTTTGGATTCTCGCTTGGGGTACAAGCATTACTACTGATTTCAATATTGTTACAAATACACTGATCTTGTTTCAGGATAGCATCTCTTATCTTTATTTTCTGAATCCCTCTGTGTTTAACTTTCTGCCTTTGGTTTAGTTTTGCTAGACATAAGTAGGTCATGATGTTTAAAAGCTACAATAGTGGTGCTGTTAGATTTAGTGCAAGTTCAGACACACCTTTGTAGTGGGATAATGAGAATTGGCGACCTAGCAGATGCTATTGAGGCCAGCTAGATTTTGGTGAGTTGAAAAACTATTATTCATATGGAAACTACATTCTTCTTTTACTTGGAAATAACTTTTATGATTTAGGGTTTTGTTCAATTTGTAGTTGCTCTAAAATTGTGCGGCCTTTGCTTTTTCTCTTAGGCTATAGAAGATGTATGTTGTTAAGAGATGGCTGGCAGATGATATACAACACTGTAGCCGCCTTAGATCTCTGTTATATTAGTTTGTTCCTTTGATTTTGCATATGTTCGATTGGTTTGCTATTCAATAGTTTCAATTCCATAAAATATACTCTCCTAATTTGGTCATTTTTAGTCATTGTAGCCAGTGGTGTTCAATTGGTTGCTTCGGCTATCGATCGAGTTGAATTAGTCACAACCGATCAAATTGATCGATTAACTGAATTAAATTTTGATTTGGTTGGTTAGTTTAGACAACACATGAGAGTTGCAATTTGGGTTCTATTTGTTAAGATTGGTTTTCTTAGGATCTAAGATGTAGAGAATTTGTTGTTGAGCATTAATTTAAAAAAAGAAGAAGAAATACTCCGCTTATTTGTTTTCCAGAACTCTTATAATACATTCTAAATTGATTCTTAAACTTTTAGACATTCTAAATTCATTCCCAAACTATGACAATCATTCTAAATTGGTCCTTAAGCTTTTGAACATTCCAAATTCATCCTTAAATCATGACCCTCTTTCTAAATTAGTACCTAAACTTTTGAAATTCCTATAATTTCCCCCCAAATCATTCAGAAGTTCGAGGATAATATTAAAACATTCAAAAGCTTGTGGATCAATATAGAATGAGGGTCATACTTTGAGGATTGATTCAAAATGTTTAAAATTTTGGGGACTAATTTAGGGGATAAAACTAGAATGTTAAAAGTATGATAACCAATTTAGAATAAGTATCATAGTTTAAGGGTGAATAGTGCAATTATCTCTTTTCTAAAATGTAAATCCTTTTTTTTGGACTCGTCTAATAGTGTGGTCGGGTCGGATCGGGTTCTCGATCAATTCAACTCGATCTGAAAATATATATCCTCCATTCGAAACTCGATTTGACTCAAGTTTAGGGGTGACTCTACCCGACCCAAACCTGACTCGATTTTTTAGATAGAACCCGACCCGACTAGACCCAAAATAAATATATTTATGAGAAAATATTGTTTTTATTCAATAAAAATAAGGATCTAATTTAAAAAAATAGAGATTATTATTATTGTAATTATCCCTAAATATGTAAGATAAATTTATATTATTTTTGGGGTCGAGTAAGGTGTTTTTCACCCTAAATCCGAACTCAACCCCACCCAAACATATTCTCTAAAAAACCGACCTGGTCTGATCCGAACCTAATTTAAAAAAAATCTAGTCGATCGGGTCGGGTTCGGGTCCCGTGTCCATCCCTAGTTTAGACGTAATATAAAGGTTTTACGTAGGGGTATTTATAATTCAGTTAAAACCAAATTAATCGACTGAATTGATTTTTTTTCGATTAATCGGTCAATTAATTTTGGGTTCAATCAACTACTGATTAATGGTTTTTTAAATTTTGTTTATCGATAAATTTGGTTCGAAATCGACTAATTAACTTAATTAACCAAAATTATTATTTATTTAATATATTATATATATTATTGAGGTAATAAGGTGTTTAAACTTCGATTTTAACCGAATTAATCAACCAAATAAACCAAAAATATTGAAGATTTAATATATAATATATATTATTTATAAATTTTGATTAATTTGGTTAACATGCCAATTAATCGAATTTAGTTCGGTTTAGTTAGAAATTTTTGAGAAAAATTTGATTCGGCTAAAGAATAAAGAAAAAAGTTCGGTTAATAGACTCTGGGTAGTTTGGTTCGACCGGTTAACCAAAATAACTGATTAAACACCCCTAATTTTACGTAATAAATATTCAACCTAATATATCCTTTTTAAGATTTTGGCACAATTCATAAAATATATGCCGCCCCATCACGTTATACACAAAAAGGGAGCTCAATTAACTATTT